ACTCTGTTCCTCTGAAAGAGCAGTCAATACACATGCTCTTAAGCCCTGAGTCACAGCCCAGTCCCACACTTGTCTTTAAAGACTGGGCCTCACTATTTAAAACAGGATTGCGGCCAGGCGGCGGTGGTGCACGCCTTTAGTCCCAGCACTCGGGAGGCAGAGCCAGGTGGATCTCTGTCAGTTCAAGGCCAGCCTGGGCTACAAAACGAGTCCCAGGAAAGGCGCAAAGCTACACAGAGAAACCCTGTCTCGAAAAACCAAAAAAAAAAAAAAAAAAAAAAAAAAAAAAAAAAAAAAAAAAACAGGATTGCCTGGAACTTGCTAAATAGCCCAAGCTGGTCTCATAGTCATAACTGATCCTCCTGCCTCAGCCTCCAGAATGCTGAAATGATAGACATGTGCTAAAACACCCGACCATTGGCAGATTATTAAGAACTCAGTCTACATGTCTTCCTTGAGACTGTGTTCTCTGGGCATAGACTTGGTAGATTTTGGATGGAGGAAGAATTTGTAAATAACTTTTTTTTTTCCCCTCTGGAACCTCTAAATCCTTTGCTTCGGCCTAAATCCATTTAGGCCAAATCCATTTGCTTAGGCAAATGGAAAAGTAATGAGGAAGAGCAGTACAGAGATCCTGTCCTTGTGAAACACATATTTCACACGAACAGCATTCACAGCTACCTGTGCTGGATTTCAAACTATTAGACGTTCATTAAAAAATGCACACACACACACACACAAAGTAAAACATCGAATGTGGGGGGAACCATGAAGCTGGATTGGCCTAGCTGCCTTGAGAGGCTTCTGTCATAGGTTTTTCAGATTAGAGTCCATGGCTCGTGGGGCACAGGGTCCCTTCCGGTTCCTGAGAGACTGATGCACTCCCTAAGGCAGCAAAGCATTCAGGCTGCCTTGTGTTTCCCTGTATATTCCCTTGGTCGTCAAGGGGGCATGGGAGCTCGAGAAGACAATTGGTCTTAGACATTAATCTTGCATACTCGGTATGACTTGTAAGCTTCACTGTATCCTGGCAACTGCAACAGTATCGATCCTGGAAACTGGCATTATAGTCTGTTTCTGATAAAGATATAAAAAGTGGGATTGCTCTAAATAAAATTGTCACAGCCTCAGTAGTGCTGCGGCCCCTCCAGCCTGGCCTGATTTCATCCCTCAAGGTCATATCAGATGATGTCGGCCCAGGTAGTAAGTGCAGGCACTTACGATCTAAAATGTCATAATTCATTTGAATTTGGCTTTGATTTCCACTGAGTGAAAATACTATGAGATGGGTTCCTATAGATAGATGTGGTCCCTGTATCACATAAAGGGGATTTATTTATCTTCAAAATTTGTTTTTAAGTAGGATGGAGAAAAGAGAGGGAAGAAGGGAAGAAAACGTGATGAGAACAGAGGGTAGCACACTGAAGTCTAGGGATGGCGCAAGAAAACAGCACCACGGACGACTTTGTCTGCTTCAGGGCGAGGCTACCCTCGTGGATGTCACTTCTCAGCGCACCTGCTGCGGCTCCCTTTCTCTTCAGACACCGAGCGCTCTGCTCACTTGGTAGCACTCAAAACTCCACAGGGCAGCCAAGACGATGGCGTTCCACCAGAGAACTAGGAAATAATATTCATCTGGAGAAGGGCTGCCCCGTGGGGAAGAAGCCATGAGACGGGTGTGACGTGTGCTTCGCTTGGGATGGTCACCCTCCTCCCCATCAACCCACCTACTCAGTTACAACTTAATGACTCGAAAAGACAGGCTTAGCCGCCCACGGAGATGTACCTCCTCTTCTGATACGACCTTGAGTTAGATCCAAATGGCTGAGGCAACAGCTGAAGCCTCTCAGCTGAGACGATCAGGACAGAACAAGCTCTCTAAAGCTTGGGAATCATTCACTTGGCCCACTCACTTGTCTGAGTCCTGCTTCTTACATACAGGGCTGAAACTACATCACTCAGAATTAATGGCCCCAGAAACTGGCCCCTACTTCTCCATTACCCGTATTCCTTACCGTTTTCCAACCCCAAGACTTCCCTCAAGCAAAGCTGCTCTCTGCACTACCTAAGAAATAGAATGATAGGGTAACAGACTTGGAAACAACCTTCAAGTTTACCTAGCTTTATGGGTGGAAAAACTAACAACTAGAAAACTAATGACAGGAAACTAATAATCAAGTTTTGATAAAATTTCCAGAATTGGGTGCCTCTATTTGTCTTCCTCTCTCCTTTGGCTGTGAGGCTGTCATGTCCATACTTGAACATGGGGTGTCCACACATTGAATTTAACAGCAAGAACCAAAAGGGGAAGGAGCTGGCAGTCTGGTCCAAAGCCCTCTCTGTTTCCTCCAAAACTTTGAAAAGGAAAAACATTAGCTCAGAGAGGCTCAGTCCTTCCTTGGGACATTGGTATCTGTATCTCTCCACAGTCTTTGTGGGAAATGGTTTCTGACCAGTCAGGTGCCTTCCAATCTCCTTTTCTTTTCTTTTGCAACCTGGGGGACCTGATGAACAGGAACAGATGCGGTATAAGTCATATAATCTGTCTCTAGAAAAGCCTTAAAGATCCCAGAAGTACCCCTATACACAAAATACAGGCTCCTTTCACTTCTCTTGGTTGCCCACCCTACTGCTGTAGACAACACAGACTTGTTGGATGAAAGCTGTGGAGAAATTAGGCTGGAACTGAGTGGAAGATTTTCCCCTGCTGGCTGGCTCTCAGTGTGCCAGGCAGTGCTGTGCAGGGTGCTGTGGGGCAAAGGCGTTGATGAGTCAACACAGATGGGAACTGACACCCCAACCTACCATGCAAGATGTGCCTATCGGTGTAACAGTGGCAGGACTGTTGGGGGGGAACCCACTGCTTCCTAATTGGATTTTGGCCTTGCCTAATAGTGTCAACCACCACCGAAAAGGTCTTCGACTCCGGAGGGGAACCTAATCTGGCTGCTTGGCTGAATCAACACAGCGTCAAACCACCCTCTGAATAGCTCTGTTTATTGTTATTTACTGTTATTTGTCTACAGACAAAGGGTACTCTCTTCCTTAAACAAAGGCTTTGTTCACTCCTTGCAGTGAACAAAGGTAAACGCAAGTACTCATGGCTGAACAAGATGCTGGGAATAAAGGATGCTCATCCCCAGGCAAGACATTTATATCACCCCTTAAGGTTCACACAGCATTATGAAAAGGGGGACCGAAAGAGTCTAAGGGCCATGGGACAGGAAGAGGGGATGCAAAATACCTCCTTCTGTACACAACTTGGCTATGGCAACCATGAACTTGCTGCAGCTTGGCCTCCTGGGACTGGGTGCACCAAAGTCAGGTCCTCTTAACAGTCAACCAGGGAGGGGGAAGGACTCATGGGCCATACCACACATGGCCTACCCTGGGAGCCCACAGGTTCAGGCTCTGATGGTGAGCTCCAAACTCACAGATGGCTCTGATCAGCCTTTGTGGCGCACAGGAAAGCAGGCTCTGGGTTGAGGGAGAAAAAATGCATGAAGTTGTGGGTGGAGACATAGGGGGCGTGAGAGGAGTTGGAGGAGACCGAGTTGGGTGGATTTGGTCAAAACAAACAAGAAGTTTAAAATACATATATTAAAGGAGAAAGGTTCCTAGGAGGTGACCCCAATTGCTTTTTCTTAAAAAAAAAAATCAATTGAGGGCTGGAGATCCGGCTCAGAGGTTACCAGCACTTTCTGTTCTTGCAGAGACCAAGGTTCAGTTTCCAGAACTCACGGAGAGTCTCACACCAACTGTAACTCCAGTGTCGGGGAGTTAGAGGGCCCCCTTTCCACCTCTCTGGGCACTTCATAAATGTGACACAAACACACAAAATAAAACAAGTAAATTGAAGGGGAAGTGGAGACAAACCGCCCCACCCCCAGCAAAAATCTATTAATTGATTGCTGCTGGAAGAGGAAACCTCAGTTTTCTTTAATGGAGTGCCATTGGGTATGACAGCCATACCTCAGGGCAGGCCTCACGCTCAGGAGTAGTTGGCCAGCCCAAATTGAACTCCATGGTTTTTTTTTTTTTTGTTTTTGTTTTTGTTTTTTAAGAGAAAGAAAGAACACGAAGCTGATATTTTTAATTCATTTTTAATTAAAACAGGATCATGTCACTTTTCCCCCTTCTCCCTTTTCCTCCAGCTCCTGCCATGTCCCCTCCTTCCAACCCCTTCTATGTTCCCTCGTTCTCAAACTGATAGGCTCTTCTTTTATTATTACTGTGCATATATATATATATATGTATATATATGTATACATATATATATATATACCCTGCTGAGTCATTTTTGTTGTTGTTTATGTCTATATAGTTTCAAGGCTGATCACTTTGTAATGGATAACCAATTAGGGGGCTGGGTAGGAACATCAGAAAGAACTAGGAAAAGTTGGAGGCAGGGGATGAATATGATCAAAATACATTGTATGAGCCAGGCATTGTGACATAGGCCTTTAATCCCAACCCTCGGTGGCAGAGGAGGGCAGATCTCTGTTGAGTTTGAGGCCAGCCTGTTGTACATTGTGAATCCCAGACCATTCAAGGCTACAAGATAAGATGCTGTCTTAAACAAAAAACATACATAATATGAAACTCTTAAAAAATAAATTAAAAAGTGATTCAAAAAATGTATGCCATATATAATCTTTCATGCACAAAATTAAAATTTTTAAACAAAATGATCTGATTCTCTGCTGATAAGTTCTCATACTCTGCCTCACCCAATCCTGTCCTACCACACTGGATCTTTGAGATAAAGATATTTTACACCAAAAGGATTTTTGCTATGATTTTGACTTTTCAGAATATTGACTTACTGTTGTTTACATAGATTAATAATTGGGTTCTGGTTGTCTGGTGTTTGGTTGGTGGTCCCTTGAGTGTTAAACCTGAGTGAGTAGTGCTCACTCTCACCCAGTCCTACAAGATGCCCGTTGATTCTCATCAATTGACTCACCGGCAAGGAGCAAGAACTGAAAACACGTGCGGAGTTTGTGGTTTAATTCAGCAAAGATGTTTTTATTGACACAGAATCAGTGGTGGCTCCTCAGACACACTGGCAGGATCCACCACCCGCCCCCATTCTGCTCACAGCGGTACACCACAGCCACAGCTCGGGTCAACCGGAGAGAAGTTCGCACACCCTGTGCTATTCAATATACCCCTGAAAATTAACTGGCCCCAAGTCATCACAAGTGACAAGAATGAAGCCCTCTATAGGGGCGATTTGGTACCTGCAGGCAGGGTATCTGGTGCCATCGATGAGCTGACAGACTGTCATTCTGAATCTCGTCTCACTCTGGAAGCAGGAGCTATCAGAATAGTTTGGGCACGTCATCTGCTTGGAGGAAGTGCAAACGCTGTTGATTTTCTGAGGCCGCTCATGGATGAAGACATGCAGCTTTTTGCACGCGTGGTCAGGTTCCCTGATGACTCTCTGTAGTATCATGTAGTTGCAGTACCTCAGAAGGGCAGAGTTCTGAGGATAGTCCACGTGCAAATGCTCTATGGAGGTCAGCGTGATGTCCTCAGTCGTCTCGTTTTCCCAGAACAGGAGCAGCAGGAAAACGATCACCATTAGTACCATCAGGGGCAAGATTCCCTTCACATCTCTGGCTTTAACTCCTAGTAAACAAAGGGAACAGAAAGGAGGAGAGGGTGATGAGAGTCCTCCAGGATATAGTATCCTGTCCTGCTACTTAAAATCACACTGGCCATGGAAGACCCTATTGCAAGGGCTGCCCGTCAGAAAGCTCTCACTCCTATTACTGATCAGCTTCCTTTCCACCCAGTTCCACACGCTGCCCAGACTACCGACTACCATCTGTTCTTTCTTTCCCTCGCAGGGATTCTCCTGCGGTCTGTGCTAGCTCCCCTCACCTGCCCTTCTTGCTCTTGCTCTCACAGGTAACATGTCCTTTTAATCATGTATGTGAGGAAATCCTTTGCGTCTCACAGTCCCCAGACAAGAGCTGGTAAGGAGTTGCTGACTGTGGGGAGGGCAGAAGAGGAGAGGGCAGAAAGGGAGGAACCCGTGGAACAGTGTGCTTGGATGCCTTCGGGGAGGAAGAGGCTTTGCCTTCAAAGTGAGACATTGGTGAGGCCGGTCCCGGATAGAGGTTCTCGTTGAACAGCTGTGGACTCTGTGGAAACATGTAATCCTGGTGTATGCCAACCACAGTATTGCCCATCATCTAAGTTTTTAATCAGTCCTAACTACAAATCTGTGAAAGAGCTGCTGTTTTTACTCCACTAATAGAGATAGACATTCCAGACGGGTCATGGTTGGGACATAAAATCAGGAAGCATAGCAAGAGTTCCATCCTGCCAGCTCCAAACACCAGTTTCAGCACGCTTGATTCCCGTATGGTATCTGGGGCTGGGTAAAATCAGTTCTCTGGACTGAGCTGAGCGTTCATCTAGCTAAAGCCCTGGGCTTCTGAAGGTGTGGCAACAGTTCCCAGACTCTGCTGAATCTTTGAACCATATCAGGTGTTAAAACAAACAAAACACAAATCATCCGTCAGCAGCTTCCACATGGGAATTAGTAGATGAGCACTTAGTAAGACATGTGGTTCCGGATGCTGAGGCAATAGAAAAACTGTGTCACCGTCCATCTCAGAACGTCTGATGAACAGATGTGGGGCGGGGGCGGGAGGGGGGCATAGAAAACAGCGCTTGATGTAGTCTTGCTCTGACATTGAGCATTTAGCTGGAGTGTGCGGATGAACATGTGTGTGGAAGTGTGTGCGTGTATGTGTGTCTGAATGTATGGATGTGTGTATGTGAGAATGTGTGTGTGATTATGTGAGGGTGCATGTGTGTGTATGACTATAAGTATGTGGAGTGGTATATATGTGTGAAAACGTACATGTGTGAGAGTGTATATGAATGTGTGTGTTGTACATTTATGTGAGAGCGTGTTATTGTATATGTATGTGTGACTGTAAATGTGTGTGATGTGAATGTATTATGTGAGGTTGTGTGTGTGTTTGTGTTAGTGTGTATACGCAAATGTTTAAGTGTGTGTAAGAGAAGAAGAGAGAGAGAGAGAGGGAGAGACAGTCTGCTGGGGTTTGGGCAAAAGATCAAAAGCACGATATGTGCTGACCATTTGCTTTGGCCCTGAGCTATACTCCAGCCTCCGATGTTGTTTTAGGAAGATAAGTGTGGTCCTTAGAATGACAATGGTCCCTACAGCCCTGTACATTTGAACACTTGGTCCCCATTTGATGGAACTGTTTGGGAAGGATTGTGAGGCGTGTCACCAGCAGTGGGCTTCGAGGTTCCAAAAGCCCACACCATTCCCAGCTCTCTCTCTGCCTCTGTCTCCATCATCTCCACCAGGGTGTGAGCTCTCAGCTCCTGCTCCAGCACCATGCCTGCCTGCCTGCTTGTTGCCATGCTCCCTGCCATGATGGCCACGGACTCCAGTTTCCTGAAACTCTAAGTCCCCAGTAAACTCTTCTGTAAGTAGCCTTGGTCATGGTGTCTTAGCACAGAAACAGAAAAACAGCTTAGACAACGAGTATGATGGGATCCATCTTCCTTTCTCTCTCTCTTTTTTGTATATATCTGCAGCTATTTATGTAATAAGTTTAAATTCTTGCTCTCGTGGAGTTTACATCTGGTAGATGCTGATTGACAATGAAAAGTAAACATACTGGGTGTTCTAGAAGATGGACACTGTGCAGTTTTACGTGGGACAGTCAGAGGCCTGTTTCCTTTTCTTTCTGTTTAACAAATCTCAATGTTGTTTAGGAATTTGCCAGGCCTTGGGCTGGAGAGATGGCTCAATGGTTAAGGGCACCTGGGATGGAGATCGTGCCCTAAGAAGGGCTAAGGGCTCATCACTCTCTTTTTGAAGATGCCTCATCTGATCAATTCACATCAAACTGAAATACATGGCTATCCATATGAAAGAAGGGGTGTCATTTATTAAGTGGTGCTGTTTACCATGCAAGAAAAGCCACAAGGCAGAACAAAACCCACTATAAGAGTTTATGAAGGGAATAGATAGGGGGTGTGCATAGGCCTATGGAATGACCATGCACGAAGAGAGCTGAGGAATAGGTGGAACCTGCTTTTATAGGTCCCTCCCCCTGCACATGCGCATATGGGCTTACGTAGCCATGCCACGCATGCATAAAATATGTGATCACACTGCATGCGGCACATGGATTACATAGGACATAAGGCCCTGGGATGACTAAACATCTTACCTGGCTACTGGACAGTGCAGGTGCGCAATCATGCACGTGGTCATGTAGCTGGGGGAGTGGCTAGGAATTCTAACGAGGGGGAGCTTCACAGTGTAATCAGGAAAGGCCAATGCCCTCAGCTCCACTTTTCAGCCACTCCTAAGACTAGGATTTTCTGGCTTTTCTAGATTGAAAACAAAGTGGGAGCGGGGTATTGTTATTTTTAATTATCATTCAAAGTAATAGCTTCCATGGTGACATCTTTATACATAGATATCAACATGCTTGGCTATCACTGTCCACCACACACACACTGATCTCCTCTCTGACCCACTTCCTAGTCCCCTTCCCCTTATCGAATAGTCCCTCTGTCTGCTTTTGTATAGCATACATGCTATTAAGAGGAGGTAGTTTTTTGTGCAAAATCCTTCAGAACGTCTTGGCTACTAATTCCAAACACAAAAGCCTGAGACTTACCCTGCACCTGCTGAGTCAAAGTCTCTGGAGGTAAACTGCACTTGCACTCCATGGCCACCCTCCCCAGAAATAACTCCCCAAGGGATAAATGGCATCTTCATTTCCAGAATGGCTCTCATCCACAGCAAAATGAGAGCTGCCCACCATCCACCAGGGAATGCTCACTGGACTGGTCTGACTCAGCTACATCTAGACCACTGCCTTGGTACAGAGCTTGCAAGCCAGGAATAAGGCAACCATCCATGAGCTCCTTCCCTGGATGCCTGGAGGGTCTTCCTTTTTATTTGGTTTTTCAAGACAGGGTTTCTCTGTGTAGCTTTGCGCTTTTCCTGGAACTCGCTTTGGAGACCAGGCTGGCCTCAAACTCACAGAGATCCGCCTGCCTCGGCCTCCCGAGTGCTGGGATTAAAGGCATGCGCCACCACCGCCCGGCCTGGAGGATCTTCTTCAACAGCCACTGCTGGGGGAAGTGAGTTTCCTGCGAATGACTGGCCACATGGTGCTGTAGAGGCTTTGCCTGGCTTCCTCTCCACAAACTGTGCACATATGGAGAAGAGAGTCCATCTTTAGCGCGGTGTCCGCTAAGATCACGTGTTTATAGGGGAGTGTAGCTAGAGTTTTCCTGCTTTGCCCACAGTCAGGACAAATCTTTGTCACCCGCCAGTCCCACAGCTGCTCAGACCCAACCAAGTAAACACAGAGACTTATATTGCATACAAACTGTATGGCCGTGGCAGGCTTCTTGCTAACTGTTCTTATAGCTTAAATTAATCTATTTCCATAAATCTATACCTTGCCACGTGGCTGGTGGCTTACCGGCGTCTTCACATGCTGCTGGTCATGGCGGCGGCTGCAGTGTCTCTCTCCCAGCCTTCCGCTTCCCAGAATTCTTCTCTCTCCTTGTCCCACCTACTTCCTGCCTGGCCACCTACTTCCTGCCTGGTCACTGGCCATCAGTGTTTTATTTATTGACCAATCAGAGCAACAGATTTGACATACAGACCATCCCATACCAAGCTGGCTTTAGAGGTGGAATTGGCTCACTCCCCCTCTAAACCCAGACATATTGCTTAAAAAAAAATGGTTAAGAGATTCTTGTGTCCCAAATCAGAAGAGCCCTCTGGTGTGGGACAGAGAAAAACCAATATTTTTATTTAAAA